GCGGGGCTACACGGTGATTGACAGGTCTCTAATAGACCATAAAGCAGTGTATCTAGAGGAGAGCTCCACATCCACATCATTAATAACATTAATGATGTGGATGTTGTGTTCAAGTGTCCCAGTAAATCACGACTGCATGCACAACACCAGGACCCTGAAACTAAAGTTGATATTGTGAATGTCGTAGAATCACATTTTAACATGTCGTCTGTTGGACAGATGTGAAATACTCAAAATACACCAAACGTGTTCAGTCGACTGTACAAAGTGTTGATAAACTCACATAATAAGTGAGGTTGAAGGAGGGAGAGCTGCTGTCTGGTTGGTCTCTGGAGGAAGAGGAGGAGGAAGAGCTGTCTGCAGATCTGATTTCAAAGCGAGGAGGGTTTGGGTCTCTGACAGAGGAACAGAGTTGATTTCATGAAACACACTTTAAGCATCTTTAAAGGGTTATTTCACACAAAACATGTCTGAATCTCAGCCAACATCGACTCACAAGTCTGTTGTTCCTAAACTAAGATCACACATCAACTAAATCTAAGTTAATTATATATTTCATAAAGTTATTAAACGTTTGTAAACACAGAAGTGGAATATTTTTATTTGCAATCATCCGAGAAAATGCAGATTCTTTATGCTGCGTTCACATGTAATCAGGCCGACGGCAAAATGAATCATACAATAAAATATGTTAAATCAAATTATTTTATTTCTACTATTTGAATGTAATTATTCTGCATGTAGCTGTACATATTCAGGAGATTGTTGTATTATTGTATTTTATTCTATTGCAAATTTAAAGAACTTTCTCTGGAGTGACGGAGCTGTGTAACGTCCGCTTCTTAAGAAAACAAGATATTTAAACTTTAGACATCGACTGATTTCACCGTCCTGCTCATATTCAATACAATGACGTCCGGTTCTCCGTTTGTCTGATTCCAAGTGAATGCATCATTATCGATATCTAAAACATCAGCTATTGGATCAACAACATGATGTCGCTCACCTGGTGAAGAGGAGGTCCGTTTGGTACTTCAGAGGGAGGAAGATGTCATTGATGTTGTTGTCTGGGTAACCCTCGTCTCCCTCACTGTTTAGCGCACACACACACACACACACACACACACACACACACACACACACACACACACACACACACGCACACACACACATGCATTGACTTGACCATGTGGGGACCGGTTGTTTTTTTACAGTTGGGAGTCGAGTCCCCACAACGCACGGTCCGTGAGAACAGATGCTGTTTTTGTTGTTTTTTTGCTGCTCACATCACAACTTGTTGTTTGAATATAATCTGAAAATAAAATATGACATCCCATAATGGCTTAACTTACTGTTTTTAAAAGTTTAAATTAAAAGAGTATTTTTACTTTGTATATTTATAGTTTCTGTTTTTTTTACACACATATCCTGTTTCTCATTTGTGCTAAATGTTTACATCCCGCTGGTGACAATTAAAGATATAGAATAATTGAATGATTGAACATCGAACACTGCAAAATCAAAAGTAATATCATAATCTGAAGTACTCGTAAAATAACGTAGGTTTCATCTCGGCAGCTTTTTATGTCAAAATTTGCACAAGTTTAAAAACAATAGACATTTTAGCAACAGATTTTGTTCCTGTGTCTCATTTCTTCGCCCTCTTTGAAAAGGCCTTTAATTTAATCTTAATATTATGAATTATTAAACAATGTTTCACTTTTAACTCTCACATCCAGTCAAACAACTCTTTTCTTTAGTGTATTTTAAAAAGATCCTTCTATGAATTATATAAACAATAAAATACATCACATTAATACTTCATCACTTCCTCCTCATGAAACCTCCAAACAAAACACTGACATGAATCAAACAGACGTCAGCTGTCTCACCTGCTGCTCGTCATGACGACCCGGACGTGATCCAAGAAGACCGATCGGCTGAACTCAAACTCCAGATGGAACGACACCTGGACGGGAAAGAGAGAGAGAGAGAGCAGGTGGGACGTCCAATTACATCAGTCGTCATCAGAAAGACAAAGATCTGAAGTTAAGAAGGTTCCACGTCCTGGATTTATCCTTCAAACACGTGTTGTAGACTGCAGTTAGTGGCAGTGTGGGCTCCATAGTCAATAACTATTTCTATCCTTCTTTTACCAACATGTCAGATTATATTGTGACTGTTTTAATGTCCCAGCATGTGAAACGCGGATCCTCCACAGTCTGTGACTGAAGCTTGTATAATCTGCACACAGTCTGGACCAATAAACTGGACTTTATTAAGACGGGCATCTGTACAGTACGGCCCTGAGGGGGCCTTTACAGTGAAGGGGCGGAGCCTCCATCATGTTTACAGGACGGTCGTTAGGCTAATGAAGGACTTCAGTCGATGTTTTCCTCTGTTTAACCACCATCATTAGTCTGACTGTATAACTATGTGTTAGTGTTACAATTACAGCAAACTTAAATTCATATTATCTTTGAAGTCTGAATGTTTTATGAATCTATATTATATTGACTTATTGACAATAAAGTTGACAAATAAGAGATGGATCAAAAAGTAGATCTATGTAGCAGACGCTGAAACATTTAGCATTTTAATCCCTAATTTGTGATCAATCGACAAAAACACTGGATCGTACATTTCCCAGAATGTAACTCAACTCCAGTTTGTAATGCAGGATGTAAACTTACAGATTTAATC